ATTTCCCTCTTAGAAATACACGTAACATTTAGTAGGTAGGATGTACGGAAATGTTAGCCTCTTAGTAAAGGTGGTAGAAATGCGCTCTGGCTATTAAAAGGTCGGCAGGCACTGACCTAAATTGTGTTGATGGGGTCGTGAAACACTAATTACAACATCGATTACCAGAAAAATAATCTTGTCAACGCGTTAGCCCGCAGGCCTCTCCGTGCTTGGAAAGAGAAACGTGATTAGATTAAATCATCAACGTCGGTCAATAATATTGATCGTTACCAGTTCGAACAAAAAGAGCAGTCCTAATGAAGTCCTGTCAAATTACAAAAGGGGCAACAACAAAAACAAAAATAGAAAGGGAAAGCATTGATCACTCATATTATGTGAGCGCACGCTACAATCTCAAATCCATCCATACATTTGCATGGAATTGTTGTTTTTAGAGACCCGAAGAGTTTTTCTGTCGATCGAAACGTTTCAATTTGGCTTGACTGATCAGTTGAAGGTTTAACGCTCAAGGGCGTATCTGATCAATCTGGGTTGGAGGGGGGGGGGGTTATTTTCAGATGAGAACTCTTTTTGGTTTTGAGATGGTGTGAAAATGCTGTGAAGTACTTTATATATAAAAGACACCAGTGGTCAAAAGAAGGCAGGGTGGGTGATATTAGACACATGTCGCTACTCTAGAATTAACTTCTAGCTGCTCAGTACCTAGTTTTGAGAAATTTGACGTGAAATTTTTAAGTTTCTAAACTTTTACAACATGTCAATCTCTTTCGAATGCAATTCTTTGAATATTATGATAACGACTCCGAATCATCATCTTACGATTTTGATACAGCAGACAGAACATTTGGTTTCTGACCTCATGGTCTTATAGTAACTCAAAACGGTCTAAAATATCACATAGAACCTTGTAATTCTTAGATAGCGATGTATTGTGCGCTTAGTTCCTGCTGTGGTGTGTTGTGAGACGAGTAACAGTTGTCTGTGGGTACACAGTATCATACTGTAAAGTATTAGGTCTATACTTCAGAGTATTCTACTGTAAAGATTCCACCACACATTTCCTTGCAAGGGTTTGTCCTGAAACACACCCGACCACATTGAAAAAAAGGGGGGGGGGGGTTGGTCAAGTCATAACTTCTGTCAGCAACAATTTTTATATATTTAATATCTACGAGTTTAAACCTAAAGAAAACCCCATCCAAATAAAGCTGGGGAAATCATTTTTAAATACCGATGTTTCGTTGGTTCTAATGCTTGTGTGTGTGACATACCATGGTCTTAAATGTGCCCAGAACGTTTGCCCTGACAGGATCTGTACCTGCTTGACCAACATTCCCTATCTCTCGAGATTCTAGAGTTGTCAAGTTTAGGATTTGACTGACCGTAACATATCGTTACCTCAGAATTACAAAGCCCTATCTGGCATTTTTGGCCGATTTTAGTTACCAAGGCCATGAGGTTAGAAACCAAATGTTCTGTCTGCTCTATCAAAATCGTTAGATAATTTGGAGTCGTTATCGAGACATTTTAAAAAGTCCATTCGAAAAATCCTGACGTACCGTGAAAAATAAAATCAAATGTTTAATGTAAATGTTTAATGTCAAACTTCTCAACATTAAGTACTGAGCAGATAGAACTTTGTAATTCTGAGGTTGCGATATATGACATCACTGTTTGTTTGAGCTGTGAGCTCCTTCCATATTCTGTTTGTTGAAGACGCTGTGAGTGATTGTACGAGCAAATATAGAGGAAGTGAAAAGTTAAATAAATAAATTTATGAATAGCTCTTATGTCCTTGAGGGTTATTGTTTTTTGTTCAGTGTTTGGTCCTACTTTTTAAAATTCCTAATCAACACAACCTGACAAAACAAGAAGTTTATGCTGGCCCTTATCATTTATTTGATAAGAAACATTTGTGCTGAGAACTGTGCTTGATAAGCTTTATAGCTTTAGTGTATTATATGACATGAACTGTTTAGTTTGATAGCGACAGTCTATATGTAACATGAACTTGAATATTTTGTTTAGTGTTATAGGTACAGTTTATGTAACATGAACTTTTGAATGTGGTGAGTTTGGGGGATTCCCGAGGAACTACAAGGCCCGCGATGTCTTGTGAAGACAGCATTTTCTACAACATCAGAACATGAAATACATAGAACAGATCCCGTCTAGTTAAAGATTTGGCTTGTGATCAGACACAGATGTATCCGTATATGCGATCGAGAAGAAGAAGAAAAAGATGTATCCGTATCTGTTTCATTTTCAACTCTTTTTTAATTTGGTCGAGTGTAGCAGAAAGCACCAAGTTCATGGGAAAAGTAGAAGTTGGGTACCCGAGTTAGACCAAACTTGTCACAGTTATAGGTTCGAATCGTTTGAAAAGGAAAAAGGAAAGATTTTATTATTGAACCTCAGTCTTCCTGCGTGTTTTGACCAAGTTGTCACCCAACTACGCTACTTTGGTTGGTTCCGAAATCTCATCCAAACGTGCAGACGAGAGGACGTATTGAACAGGCGAAGTCATCTGGCTGGATATATCGACCCGTCCCGTGATGAATTGCGCCATACCGGATACGGTTATGGATGTCCCTTATGCCCACCAGGTCCCTTTACGTGTCTCCGGGCTCTGGATCTAGCCTGCCAGCCAATAACGGGCCGGGTACATGATTTGTTTACTGGCGCACTCAACCGTTTCGTTGGGCTGACGTCACACCCGGATGGTGTTTTGATAGACTGTCTTCATCCGTGAGGTGGGTTGATGGGCTGGGGGGGGGGGGGGGGGGGGTTGCTCTGTTTAAAAATCTCTGGTCCTTCTACGGTCGAAATTGCTCAGGATGGCTACTCGTAATGGAGAGAAAAGTTTTCTTAGACAGAAGGGCGCCTTGGACAGTGTAATTTATTTCAAGTATTCAAAAAGAAAAGCAAGGGAAATAGGGAAGTGGTTGTTTTTAAGGTGATTGTTTTGGACAGGTGGCCGTTTGAGCAGGTTCGACTGTATTTCTTTTCAGTGTAAGTACATGATGTACTGTGCACTATTGTCCATAACCTTTTCGACACCACAACAGGAAGTTAAAGGTGACAAGTCAGTTGTTTGTCATATATAGAAACTCCTCGTAAGTTCCTTTAATGTTTTAATTTTAATTTACTAATCCAGAATATTATCGAAGGCGCGGTTGGGAGCTTTGCTGTCATACGCAAGAGACCGGAGTTCGATTCCCGAATGGTGAGAAATCTTTATCGTGTCCACAACTCGGTCTTTCTGCTGGGATGTATCATATATATA